TGACGACAGTATTTTCTTTTAAAATAACTCTTGAAATTTGCAATAACTCTGGCATCAAGTGGTTGAAGATGACTTGTAGTGTTTGGAGGTAAAAACAACTTCAATATGAGTTAGTTGCTGGGAAATATTTGATCCACCACTATGACCACCACGATCTTTTGATCTACCACCATGACCATTATGACCTCTTGATCCACCACCATGACTATCACGACCTCTTGATCCATCACCATAACTACCACAACCTCTTGATCCACTACCATAATTACCATAACCTCTTGAACTACCACTACGACTACCACGATCTCTTAATCTACCACTATGACTATCACAACCTTTTGATCTACCACTATAACCATCGTGACTGCTTGAATCACTAGCTGTAAATTCAATTTCACCATCATTATCTTCATTTTGATTGTCTTGTTCAATTCCTAAAGTTGATGAATTATATGAATTGAAATGTGATAGAGCATTATCAATCAAAAGTAAAATCTTTTTGTCTTGTATCCTAAAATAATTATCCATTTCACGAAGCATCTCTTCGAAAACCAAAGAATTCATCTATGCTTTCAGATTTCCATGGTAGTAAACTGAAAGGGACCCTAAATTAACCTTCAAAAGTGATCTTAGACGTTTTGCATTACCAATTACCCATAGTTTGAGTTTATCTGTTCCAGTTGCATTAATGCCAAGAAGTACAGTGATTCTTAACTTATCTTTTTTTCGACCAGGAACAGGTTTAGTAGAAAGAGTTTGATTAGGAGGCATTTGATAGAAAAAACCCTTTTTAGTAAGTAAATTAAATATTAGTTTTAGAAGAATAATAATATAAATAAAATATAAAACTTTTTTTAAAAACTTACTGTTTCATCAATGTTGTAAATTCTATCAAGAGTATATTGACCTAAAATTAATTGTAATTTTGCTCGTTCCTTTGAAAGTGATGCTAATGATGCATTTCCTGACTCTCTGTGCATATGATAATTATAAATGTTATTACGTTTCTTGAACTTATATAGCCAACCATTAGAAAACACGCACTCATTTTCTTGTATATTAAGTGCATTAGCAAAAAATCTTGCCTTTTCTTTTATTAATAAATCTGTTAGGATGATCCCATTTGCTGTTATATTTTCTACCCATAAATTCATAGCACAATCAAGTTCTGGAAACTTGACTCCTTTATATCTGAAAATTTCTTTAGAACCTTCAATTTTTAACACAGAGGTCCACTTTTCACTTTTGGCCAATATTTTTGTTACAATATTACAATCGATATTTAAAGTTGGGTTTTTTTCAGTAAAATAAGCTGCAACTTCAGAATGTATTTTACTATTATTTTTTTCACTCATACACAAATTTGTTATTTGAGGTTAATACTTATAGCTGAGCGATGCTGTTTGGGTCTGTCAAACATTGTAAAAAACTAATTAAACAAAGAAGACAGAAAAAACAAAGGTTATTTGAGAATTGCTTTAAAAGAGGAATTTTGAAGAAGCTTTTTAATGATAAAGCTATAATAACAGTTTAGAGTTTGTAACATCATAGCTATTATTTGATGCAGAAAAACTACCGTCATTAAATAAACGCAAAAAATGAAAATTCAAGAAAATTGTTTTATTTTCCCAAGTGTTACAAATTATTGTTTCATTTTTCAAGCTTTATTGTATTTTACCTTTATCATTTTTAAGTGTGCGTTACATTTTTACGTGTTAAATTTTTACTTGTTACAATTTTTTGTGCTACATTTTATGAGATCAACTAATTAAATTTCTTTGATATAAGCCAATCAGAAATTTGTGATTATAAAGGGATCTAATTATTAACAAAATGATATGTATGTTATAAGTGTAAGGTGATAGTAACTATAGCTGATTTGTGACCATATAGAGGTAATTTAATAATATTAAATTCCATTATATAAAAATGTGTGCTTATAAAGAGGTGTGACTATATAGGAGGTGACTGTATAGGGGTCTGACTATATATAATATTATAGTAAATTATAGTTTTTAATTATATAATAAATAATTTAAGGTTACTAAGAAATTTTATGACTTTTATTAATAATAAAGTGATTTAATTAGTTTGCAAATACATGAATTTTAAGAAAATTTTTAAAAAATTATTATAATAAATTTTCAAACTTAATTTTAAAAATTGAATTATTTAAAAAACTTCTTAATAAACTTAAATTTTTTTTAATAAAGTTGATAAAATATATATTAAACTATATTTTTTATATA